AAAATATCACAATGAAGAGAAGTTATGGGTATGTCACCCCAGAGGCACTGACTGACTTTGCTTTTGACTGAAAAGATGAGGGTAACAGGGCATGTGACGCACTCCCAGAGAAGATATACAAGTATGATCAAAAAGTCCCAGGAATTGGCCTCTAAACATCTAAAACCTTACTCCAATATAGATTTGGCCCATCTTTCCACCTAATGGTCCATCCACCTCTGGACCATTGTCAGCATTGCTGCTATAATTAAATCAATCCCAGGAAGTCCTGTCATGCCCCCTTGCACTTATGTTACTCCAATGGCCACTGGATTGCCTCCAGTGCATCACAGCAGTGATTTTCATTTTTGGGAAGCAGACAAAGTTGCAGGGAGTGTAGTCTGCAGTTTTTCATTTTTAAAGGTCAGTTCTCAGTATTTCCAATGTGCAAACTTATAGTTTGTGGACCTCTCTGAGCAAAAGCAAAAATATTAACAATAAGCTGCTGTGCAAACAACCTAAATTCAGAACAGCTGGGATGCTTGCAAAATGGAAAACGAAAAGGAAACCAGAATGCAGTGATATACAAATATCATGAACCCATATTTTGTTCACAACAGAAGACATAAAACATGTCAAATGTTTAAATGATACTACTGGGTATGAAAGAAAGTATCTTAGAGAGGCAGATTATCTCAGAAGATGGACACAAGTTCACCAATTGCAAAAACTGTTCATAAATTATGGAACAATTAAAAATAATGTTTCTCAATGTAAAATTTCAAGGGCTTTTAATGCTTCATCATCTGCAGTAGAGTTGCTACTTTTTGGTGCCATATTGTCAAATTAAACTGTGAATGAAATAACTTAAATAATCTTTTGGATTAAATTGAAGTACATAATATCATCAAAAGACTCTGAGAATCTGGAGAAATCTCTGTGAACAAAGGACGAGGCTAAAAATCAATGTTAGATGTCTTAAAGCCAGACCTTTCACCAACTGAAAACATCTGCATCAGATGTTTAGAAACTGCTGTTAAAAGAAGAGGAGATGCTACACAGCCTGCAAATTCATAATGACCATTTTTTCTTAAATTGGTACATTTCTATATTCTATACTTTGAATAAACTATGGGTTTATGAAATTTGCAAATCATTACTTTCACTTTATATTTACATTTTACCCAACACCCCAACTTGTTGGGCTGGGAGTCATAATGTTGTGGTGTAAAACAGTGTTGTTATTTGACAAGTTTTCATTTAGAAGACCTGTAACTGTGCTTCAGTTTGTTTGTAGACTTTTATTATTGTGGATTTGTGATGTGCTTTTCTGTATTTGAGTAATACTAAACATCTAGAAACCATAATGTATTTGTTTTTCTTATGCTGACACTAGATATCACTAACTCACGCAGTTCAAGCAAGAAGGATTTAGTGTATTTTGCTGGAGCTTCTCACTTTGACTTTCCCAAGATCCACCTCCACAGCACTCTTTTCACTAAATGACAAAGGATTACTGCATCCTGATTTAGATTACAGCTCCTTTTTTTCAGCCCTCCACGCGTGCCGTAACCGGATACTTTTCAGACCGAGTGAGTATTTCTCATTGGGCCTGTGGAGATCCAGACAGACACTAATCCCTGCAGCGCTTACCATCCAGCGATCCAGGTCTGTAACATACCACTGACCCTGTTGTCACCCATGGGACTGCATATGTCTTGCACAGCAGGCTGATTTATGAGAAAAGGATTTTACAGCCAAATAAGAGGAGCAGACAACTAAATTTGGCTTGAGCTATGATTATTCAGTCAGAATTATCAAAATAAAACTTAATGTGACTTACTTATGTTACACTGACCTTTCTAAACTGCACTGTTTATGAGGGTGGCAGCCCGCATTCATAACATGCTATACACAGTCAGGACGCTTCACAGCTCTTATTTTTAGACATCACATCCAACCTGCCACTTACCTGCATCACGTGAGGCGGAGGAGTGTGGAGGCGCGCGTAGCTGACAGTCTTTGCGGCATGTATTGGCCAACTCTTGAAGAAAAAAAATAACATGGTTTCGACTTCAGCTTTGGGTCGAACTGTTTATTTCGTTCACGGGTTAGAAACTTCAGCTTTTCGATGTGGTTGTGTGCGCAGTGTGATTTAGGTCATTTTCTTTTTTATTTAATGCCAAATTTTTATTTAAGTAAAATCTGGAACATTGTCTTTTCATTGTTTAAATGTCAGAAGGCTGCTGCTTGTAATTCAACAAATTCAATGACAAATGAAAGTTAATTCATTGAGACTGAAAGGTAAAGCCATACAATGTGCTTTCCCTTTTCAATTTTATTTTAATAATAGGAAGCGACTAGTACATCACGAAAAAACAAAGCCACGTGTTGGGATCGATGAGATCAGGGGCTTCCGACCACATTTACAACACCACAGAGGGAGTTGAAAAACAATGCAAATACCATTACCTCCACCAAGGAGGTCATGTTTGTGGTTTTCATGGGTTTTCTGTATACACAATGGCTCGAAGGATTTTGAAAGAATTCTAATTCAACTTTGTAAGGCTGTTATAGTGGGCTCACGGCAGCAATCTATTAGAAATTTGTTTTACATCAACAGAGGTCCTCAAGGTCAACTTAATGATTTATTGGTCAAAGATTGTGAAAAAGCAGTAGAACTTAGAACCTATGATTTTTACAAGTGTGGTTTGTATTGTCAACATAATGTATAGAAAGTTACATTTGACTTCTGACCTCAAGGTCAGATAGAGACAAACGTTCATAGATTGTATTTTTATAAAATGTCTTCTTCATAGTAGAATAGAATAGAATAGAATAGAATATGTCTTCTTGAAAACTATGTTTAAAATTCTGCTGCCTTTCTATTGGCAGCTTTTAGGCAATAATACTGGTATATGGAGATTCTAAATATAACATCATAGTTTGCATCCAAGTATCATGTCATGTTTGACCTCTGACCTCACATCTGCCTTTCTTTTAAATCCAAAATGTGTTACATCTTTAAAGGTAGCATGCAGCAAAGGTAGCAAAGCAGACAATGAGCTGCTTTGGTGTAATATTATGTAATAACTCAACTTATTTATGTCCACTGTCCTATTTCCCATTACCTACTCCTACACAATGTTTGTCTAATCAGATTTTGATATACTACAAACTTCTTAAATTATGCTCAAAAAGAACAAAGAAAACAAAATAAATATATTTAAAATTAATTACTGTTCCCAGTGAATGAGCTTTCTGCCTTGGCAGAGGTCTGATTCCTTTTAGTCGATCATTTTAGGTCATAATTCCTGCACAACCTCCCTGAACCAAGGGAACGTCACTTATTTTATTTTACTGCATATTATTTATAGGGACTAAGAGCTTCTAGCAGGGAGGAGGCAACCTCATATAAATTTTGCCACCGAACTAAAAAGACAAGAAGATAAGAATAGTCTGTTTCCCATCAGTCTTGTGGAAAGTGTTTACCACTTTCCATTCTCCTGAATGTTTTCAGCTCTGACTTGTTGGTAATTTGACAGATCATAACATGAACTCTAAAGAGCAGGTAGGCGGTGGAAAGGCGGCCTGACTCTATGTATAGCAAGAAGTCATAAAGGGTGAAACCTCACTCTGACATTTGGTGCCTGTTTTTTCTGGTGAGTACATAGCAAGAGCAGGAGAAGCTGGAAGGGGCATCATTATTGTTCAGGGACACCCTTGAACCCCCCGCCCCCCTAGTGCCATAAGAGACGGTGAAACCTGGCAGCTGGCACATTCAGATACTAACGGGTGTTTGAAGTTTCTTTGTTTTTGTGCGCACACACACACACACACACGCACACACACTTTAGATATCAGTAGGAAGAAGAAAGAAGTGATGAATAACATGATTATTACACAACTGATTATTACCTCCTCCAGTTGTGTGCAACCTCAATGGAAATATTTTTTTAAAGACTGTCCCTAAATATTGTGTGATATTCTAATAACATGTTTTCTATATTTAGCCACTTTAAAGCATTTCTGATGGTGTGTGAAAATAAAAAAAACTGAATTATACACGGTGTAAAAATGGCAAAAATATGAAGCCCAAACATTCAAGCGTGTGCAACTTTAATGGCCGACCTTGGAAAATCAAAATCCTGAGGATGGCATCCATCAGCTAGTTCCTCTGTTACGCTGGCAGCATCTGTGAAATGCCCAAGTCTCACTTCCAAAGGTTTTGTGAACCAGTTATAACCAGCTCTGCCCCACTTAGAAATCTGGACAGCTGGGCCCACTACCACAGCGTTCCACCACCATTTACACATACAGTATGCATTTGACTGCACGGTGTGAGCCTGCAAGTCCACATTTAAACATCCTGCTTACAGTCTGAATTCGTGGGTTTTTCCGTGCTTCCAGTTGAAGGAGCTTTTCTGTTTGACACTTTTTAGCAGATGTTTTGTTGTAAATAGTTGCATTTCTTTCAACCTTGTGACTTTTTAGTGGCATTTGCGGGAAGAGGTTACATATCATTTGCCTCCTCAGCTGGTAATGGCTACATGCCCACATGCAACCTCTTCAGAAGATGGTTTATCTAGTCTGAGTGCAAAGGGCAAGCACGAGGTGTCCTTTAGGTCAACGGGTAATATGAGAAAGAACAAGGGCACACAAAGTAAAAACACTATTTTTAATGACTCTAGTATACCTACAATTACACTGCACCATAAGGTATAATTTAAGCAGACAGATCGACTGAACGATTGGGAAATCACACGTGCCATTGAGGTCCAGTCTTCTTCCTCGGGGCAATATTTACCAATCATGTTTACCATAGTTTCGATGTTTACGAGGGAACATTTTGGTTGTCAACATTTTTTATAATCCCTTGGTGAGTGCAGTGTCAGTGGCCATGTAACCACACGGTGGGAGGAGGCACACAAGGGCCACTCATCTGTAAGCTGAAGTCACTGGATATTGGACCTTGAAATAGCACTACAGAGGATATAAAAGGATCCTCTCCTGCTTGCTCCCAAAAGAGCGCAGCCTTGTGCAACAGCAAATAATACTGTGCAACGGCTAAATTGTAATTCGGGCAAGAGAAATGAGCCACTGGTGAGAAAAAGGATGACCACACAAGCGAAAAGAAGTGGATGTGGACAGAGCAGAACGAAGTAAAGGATTTGACAAGTGCTCGCAGGAGCTGCTCTGGCAATAAAAAGGATAAAGGACAATTGGGGAGAGGACAAATAGGACATAGAGCAAAGGATACTGGTCTTTTTACTGGATTCTTGCATTCCCTTGGATTTCTCACTTCCCTCCTCCTGATCTAAAAGACTAGAGGGAGACGAGCTGCAACCATTGCAGGCATGAAGTACAGCTACCGTGTGCCGGCGTCTACATACGCACACAGCTCACAGTACACACCAACTTACCACACTACCACCCAGTACACCCCCTCATATTACACACCGCCACCGTACACATCTTCATACACATCCGCATCAAAGTACAAACCAACACAGTACAGCACCACATATTACACCCCGTCACACCACACGTCCACTTACAAGCCTGCATCAGCATACGTCCCTTCATACAGCAAAGGGTCACGGTACAGCTCAACACATGGCACACAAGCACAGGAAAAGCCTGCACCTGTAATTCCTGTCACACCTGCCAAGAGGACAGTGCACTTCCCCAATGACATCATCTTCCAGGATATTGTTAGACGGGGAGATCTGGAGCAGATTGGTCGGTTCATGAGAGCAAGGAAAGTTCGTGTGGATACAGTTTTCCACTCAGGTGAGCAATATCTCCACAGCTTTGATTTTCTTTTTTTTATCTGCAGGTACTCACATCCAAAGTTTCTTAAAATATATGTATATATATTATTGTTGTTGTTAAAAGCAGTACTAGCTTCACTAATGACTGAGAGCTTTGATGTTAAACATTGTGCTAACCGCATTGGCTGCAAGGGAACTGATTATTGCTGCACTGTGCAGGTATGGCAGCACTACATGAGGCTGTGCTAACAGGGAACCTGGAGGTGGTGAAGCTGCTGGTCAAATATGGCGCCGATGTCCATCAGAGAGACGAGGACGGCTGGACGCCGCTCCACATGGCCTGCAGTGACGGCTACCCAGAAATTGCCAGGTAACGTGTGACTTTTTAACCAAAAGTGTACACTGATGTAAATATAGAGCAGCTGGAGGGTTATTAGAAGAAAAAAAAAAAGAAGCGGTTACTCTCTTGCCACTAGGGGACGCCACAGCCGATAGCTCAGCATGTTTGATTTGACAGAGGTTTAGATCTCCTTTCTGATGCAAGCGCAAAGGGGACCTGCCTCTCCAGCTGGAATCGAACCAGCAACCTTTCGCTTGCCAAGGAAATGTGTTAACCATTGCACCTGTAGTATATACAAATGTGCTACAAAAATAAACTCTGCAGACAAAACCCATGTAGTTTGCATGTGACAGCTGATGCTGGCATAAACAAGCAGCACCCACATGAAAAAGTGACATCACCATCATACCATCATCATCACAGTGCACAGCATTCAGCATGAAAGAAGCATCAGATTAGCTGAAGTGGGGGACATTTCTGGGAAGAGATTTAACAGAGATTCACCACTACAACTTTGAAACTTGACTCTATATTCTAATGTCACAAATCTAAAATCCATTTAAAAAATTAGATGCACTAATGATTAACGATGGCATGTATTCGCGCACTTTTGTAATATGTATAAATATCAATATGTACTTCATTTTCTACTCAGATATCTGCTATCAATGGGCGCCAGCACAGAGGCAGAGAATGAAAGTGGAGAGAAGCCCGCAGACCTCATCGACCCAGAGTGCAAAGACCTCGCCAAACTGTTTGAGACTGGCTGCGTCTGATTGGATACCGGGCGGGTCCAAAGGAAAGCAAACAAAGATTACAGAAAGAAGAAGATGAGGAGCCGGAGAAGAACATTTCCACCACAGCTCACTTCACGACCGATCCCGTAAAGCAAGATTGTGTTTGCTAGTTTCAAAACTGTAGTACAAACACCTGCTGGTGTATTATTGTAAATTATTGCCTCAAAGCGATACTCCAGTAAGCTTTTTTTTTTTCTGGTGGTTATTTTTATTTAATTTCATTATATTTGAATTTATTTTTATGTGTATATTTGTCATACTACCAGTTTCAGCACTATGGCGTAACATGGAACGTGGAAGCAAAACATGTTTTCTTGTCACATATAGTCTAACTGTCTGGAGAAATGTTTGACTTTCAGGATTATTTCAGTTTGGGTTATTTATCTGATGTGTTAGTGTTAGGCAGTTTTTACATTGCTGGATGAACTCTGAAAATTGTTTTCTCATAGAAAGAGTTTCTTTACTGCTGGGCAGTAAGAGGATCATAAAAATGGATACTGATACTTTAGTATCAGTCAATCATCAATCAAAAAGAAAAAAATCACCAAAGCACAAGCTTGTACAAGCTTTGTAACCCTGCAGTGTTTCCCCTAATGTATTACTTTCATTTATTTAGGTATAAGAATATAAATGCCAGCAGTGTAAGTCTTATCATGTTTTTGCTCAGTTATTATTTTTGTATATTTTCATAAATAAAGAAGCCTTTTATTAATTTGACTGACTTTCTGTTGTGGTCTCTCTAAGGAAAATGAAACTACATTACAAGAACTACAAAGTTCATAGAGTTATTTGTGCCATCACTAGTAAAGTACTTCAATCACTAGCATTTTCTAGAAAGCTGGTATTTAACTAACTCACAACCTTGTGATGCAAGGGTTGAGATACGCTTGGGGATTTGTTTGTTTGTTTGTTTGTTTACACTTTTACAGTGACTCAGAGGAACACTTGGTTTTTTACATGAAGAGCAACCACTTGGTTGACCGGAAAATCCATCTGTTGAAAGGCTGCATGGGCCTGGACCAGCACTTGTGTTTTATTTCTCCACTCTCTCTGCTCTGTGCTGTGGATAATGAGTGCTAAAAAATAAATAAATAAAATAGCCTATAATAATAATAATAATAATAGTAATAATTACCTGCAACAAACCAAGTAGCAGCAATCCAACTCCAATTTCTCTAGAAACATCGTTTCTTGTTTGTTTGTTTGTTTGTTTGTTTGTTGTTTGCTTGCTTGCTTTTCTTGGTTTTAAATTTGCCTGAGTCACCTGGTTTGGACGCTCTATCACTTCCGTTTGTTTTCCCGGAAATGTTTGGTTGGCATTGGCAACGTTTTAGCCAGCTCTAACGCCATACAGCCACGTCCGGAGGAGTGTTTATACACGGGTTTGTTGAATATCCTATCTCTCATTCAGTGTACATCTGGAAATACACTATTGCGCTGATGTTTGTTTTTTCTAATACCTATCCTGCGCTAGTGAAATGAATGAAATTGTAGCTGTTACAAGCTAACGTTACGACAAGACAATGAAACTCAGCAGTCAGCTAGCTACATGCTAAATTCTCGTGTCGAAAAATATGTTGTTATTTGCCCCCAAAGACAGAACTGCTGGGGCACGCGTATCTCTAAAATACAAACTGGTTTAGATACAATGGTTTTTAATGGCAGTGGAAGGCTAAAACGCTGGGTTTCAGTTTGTAAGCCGATGCTAACACTGCTGAAGCTACTGGACTCAAAACGTAAACAATGGCTCCTTGTTTAGCTAACGTCAATATTTCTCATTTTCAAACTCCTGCCTGACATTAGCTTTACTAAAACTAGTTAATCTCAGCAACAATGATTTACTCGTTATATCTCTAATGTCACCGGAACTCATCGGATGACTGACTATGTTTTAAGAGCGTTAAGCCAGAAGCTAGCTAACACCACTAACCAGAATTACTACCATCTACATAATTAGCTTAAAAGTAACCAATGCTAAAAAAATAAAAATTAAAAAAAAAACTATTTCTGAGGTCATGTGGGAATTAATTACCCAGTCACTGTTATTTACTGGCAGGACTGAGCTGAGGACTTCTGGACGTTTGTTTATACTTATATTCCACTCACCACAGAGGAGCGAGGAGCAAGTACAGACTCCAAACAGAATGACCAGGTTTGACCAAAGACAAGCACTTAAACACCCGTGATCACATTTAATTAGTGCCTTTGAACTGCGGTAGCTTTAGTTTAGAGTAAAAGATGAATTGACTGTGTGCTGTGGTGCTAATTTGAACGTTTCCATGTTTTCTGAAGCTCATCAGCTCCCAGGATGGTGAACAGTTACAAGAGAACTTCAAGCCCCAGATCCCCTACTAACAGTGGGGAGCTCTTCACCCCGGCACATGAAGAAAATGTGCGCTTTATACACGACAGTAAGTATGCCTGTCTAACAATGATGTGTCAAACTCTCTTCATGAAAACATTCAGGATTTTAAATGCAGCTCCTTGAAAACTAAAACTGAATTGCCTGTCAAATGAATTTAATTCTGAAAAGGAAGATTCTTTCAGAACCTAAGACACATTCAGGTTGAGTTAAAATGGTTACTTTTCAGTTAACTATAAACTGTGCAACTATAACAGTAGATTATTTATCATATACATAATAGGGTAACAAATAGCAAGTTGGTTACACAAGACATTAAATTAAACAGCCTCTAAAGCATGAAAGCTGATTATATTAAAAATGAAAAAGCATTTTGATCATTTTTTGTTAAATGTTTGTCTCTACAATGCAAAAGACACTTATTACGAGCAGTATTTGTAACTAATTAGTCTGTATTCATTGTTGTCAAAGCTGGTCATTTAAATTTCATGGGTTAGTTTTATTCATCAGAAGTTGCCAGGTCTCCTTGAGGCCTACAAACCCATCGTCTGTCTTGCAGAACATCAGTATCTTTGCGTGCCACTGCCACCTATAGATCAGCGCAGTAATGTGGAATGACAGCCATTTTTAAGTCTTGATCTGCCTATCCACATGCAATAAACAAAACGGGATCCAGCTGGCAGCCTGTGCACTATTTCTGTGGCTACAAAAAGAGAAGGACTATGAGAGTTAAGCCAATGCATATGCTACAAAGACACACTTGAGTGTAGTCCTCAAAACACACACTGTGCATGCTGATTGATCGGGATAAGGAACCACTGAAGACTTCTCCAAAAAGAGACACACACACAAAACAAACTCAAAGAAAACAGATCAAAAAGCATAGAGGAGAAGCACAAACAGTGGAAATTTTTGAAAGGAATTCTTCGTCTATTGTGACCTGTTTGCTGTGCACCAGATCTCTGTGACAGATCTGTGACCAAGAGTAGCATGCATGTCCTTGGACATAACAATAAACGCCTACATGACACGGCTCTTATAAGCTCTATTGTACCATTAAACGGACACTCTTAAGGTTGTGCACACACTAAAGAAATTCTTGCAGTGTGCTTTTTACCCAGCTGTCCAGTCACAGTCATGCCAATCATGGTGCAGGGGCTGAATGGTTGAGCCCTTGGTATTTGTGTTTGCACCAGATGACAACGCAAGATTGCCACAATTTATGAAATAATACAAAATCAGTGTTTGTAGGATTTGTTTACTATTCATCTGCAGGCACCTGCCAGTATATTTTATGTCACAGCAAACAAGGAAAACTCTGTGGGTCTCTAATGCCCTTCAAGTCTGAGGAAAGGCTTGGATAGAATAGAATAGCCCTTTATTATCATTGTACATGTACAATGAAATTATAGGTGCTCCACGCCAACTGTACAGGAGTAAAATAAAATGGTAAGACAACAGGAATGTAGCTCCTCGTGCTTTGTTAGTGAACACAGACCACAGTTGAAATTCAGTGATTACTTCCAAAACATTGTTAAAAGGACTTTAGTGATGATGGTTTAAGATAGCAAAAATTCATTTTCCACGCTCTGACACTGAAGCACTTTAAAAGGTCTGGAAATAATGCTTTGCAAGTTAGAAAATGCCAGCACACAGCTCAGATGCATCGTTAAGTAAAACTTATTCGTCTTTGCTTATTTCGCAGCCTGGCAGTGCGTGCTCAGAGACATAAGATCAACGCAAAATAGTGACCGGAATGACCGTGGACCACAGGAGTATGTCGAGAAGAACCCAAATCCTAACTTACATTGTAAGTTCCAGCAAATGTTTATTTTTCCGTCACACTAAAAGATGAAATCGGTAAAGGACGTGCCGGTTAACTACTCGTTTCCTTTTCGTTCTTGCAGCTTTCACGCCAGTGGACCTGAGTGACCTCAAAAAACGCAACACACAAGACTCCAAGAAGTCCTAGTCTTTCTCTTAATGATCCCATTGCTTTTTTTTTTTTCTCCCATACATTATCCTTGAGAACTTTTCCTCCGTCAGCCCTCTTGTCAGCCAGAAAGTTATCGTTGTTGGTCAGTCTAACACAGAATGCAAATCTAATTTCTAAACTCTGGACCATAGCAAAGCTTCTCTTCCTTCGCCCTCAAAGACTGACTAAAAAGAAAAAGTTGGATTTCTCCCCTCTTCTCTCAGTTCCTGTTTTTTTCCAGTCGCATTCGATATGTGGACGAGACCGATGCAAAGATTCATCCAAAATTTGCAGACTTTGTACCTCAGCTTTTCTTTGTCTCCACAGGACACAAAAGACTACAACTACTACTAATATGACATGGGAGGAAAATATGAAAGGGCTGACTTCTTATTTGTAGTTTTATTTTGTTTATCATTAATTAAGCAAGTGTAGAAGTAATTGAACATTCACACACACACTTTATGGGCGAGTTTTGAAAGCCAAAACAGAGTGTAAACAAAGCCAACATTTTTATTATACATTTTCTTGCCCTTGGTCGGACTTTATTAAGTAGAGGACCTCCCCAAGTATTGATAAATCCCCCCCATTCCCCTCTTCTTTCCCAAAGCCTTGAAACAAAATGTTGAATAAAAAGACTTTTACAGTACTTGTAGTTGTACTTACTCTACATAAATACGTCACTGTATTTTTATCACATTAGAATTCTAGTTATGTATTGGTCATGAGTTGTAATTTAGTTTTTGATCTGGTTTATTTTCAGCTAGTTTCCAGAGTTGTTGCTCAAAAATGTTCAGATAGCTTTTGTTTTCACCAGTATTGGTATTGTTTTAATTGTTTTTCTTTTTAATTATTATAGTATTTTATTATTTTTCAGATCCAATATTTTAAAAGTCAGCAATTTAGATGTATCCCTTTGCAAGGCACTTTACGCACAGTCAACGTGTAGGGTGGAGCAGATGATACTCCAAAGGTAAAGACAACCAGGCTTGACCTTGTTGGGTGATCTTACTATGAAATCATACATATATGACCATTTTAGAGGTCTGATATTTCTCAAAACCTCCTTTTTAAGGCAGACTTGTACACTTTAATGACAAAAGTATTCACTCAACCTTCCAGATCACTGAATTCAGGTGTTCCAATCACTTCCATGGCCACATGTATATAAATTCAACCACCAAGGCATGCAGACTGCTTCTACAAACATTTGTGAAAGAATGACTTACTCTAAGGAGCTGAGTGACTACCAGAGTGATACAGTGATGGGATGCCACTTGTGCAACAAATGCACTCATGATATTTTGTCACTACTAAATAGTCTACAGTCAACTGTTAGTGGTATTGTAACAAAGTGGAGACAATTGGGAACAACAGCAA